GAAGGCATGAGTTACAACAAAATAAAATGAGATCAACCACGTGCTTAAAACAGGAAATTTTGCAACGTAAGCTATCGTTTCCTTAAAATGGATTTTAATACCGAAAGGAACGAGTCCCCTCGAACATTAACTGCCTCCCTTAACCTCTTGCTCTCAATAACTCGTTCGAAGTAGAAATTGTTGGACCCAAGCTACCATTTTGCAAACTACCGGGATACCAGGGTGTCCGAGCATTAATTCCAGCCACTGTACGTACATGTTTGGCGACGAGGAATCGCGCACGATGTATAGACTGATAAACGAAACTCTGCATGCGGAGGCGCGTGTGTGGGTGCGTCCATGTATTTAATTATTGGCGTTTCAGTAGCGTGAACACTTACCTTTCGCTAGATTATCAACGAAGGGATGTCTTGGCTCGCTTTGTGTAGTATCTTATCTGTGTAAAGTTGAGGCCGATAATGCTCGTAAACGAAAAATATCGATGCGTTGTGCCGTCGAGCGGCGCGAATCAAAATCAGTATCACACGGAACGGCGCATCGTTGACTCTATCACTGGAAAAAGCTCCTCTCCAAACAACGTTTCCAATCGAGGCCACGATTAATTATTTTGCACGATGGCACGAAAGCACAGCCGTATGATGGGCTACAGGCTCCTCTGCATGATCGTCGTGCCGACAATGTACTTGCTTTTCATAAACACGTTAGCGATGCTGCTTCCTAACAGCGTGGAGAGTGCGGGTGTTAAACCTACGGACACGCGTAAGTTTCGTTTTATAAAAAACCATTCCCCGCCCCCCAACATCTCATTTTTCTCTGTTCGCCTGTGCCACGAGGACACGAAGAAATTTTTTTCGTGAAAAGATGACTGGAAGGGTGAGTCTCGATCGACCCACACCCATTTCACAATTATTCGCTGTTAGCTTTGTCTCATTCGAGCAATAACTTTTGTTTGAGGACTACTGTACTAGAGTGGGAAATATTTAATTTAGCTTGAACGCTTGGAAAAGGGGAAATAGAAATATTATTATGGGTTACCTATTACTGTTTGCACATAATAATTTCTAGCAGTTGATAGCACTCTGAATGACAGAATTACGAGTTCTGACAGTTAACGATAGAATTTGTAGTGCTAATTGATTGTGTTGTATTTTATTCCTTCTATATTTTTATTTATAGTATGGCGAAGTATTTAAATTTAAATCGGAGGCGGGGTCTCGGGTGACCCAATAAGTGGAACCTGTTGGAAATCGTGCTGGGGTTAACACTATAGTCGTTTCGATACCAAGAACAATTTCGTGCGTTCGTTTACAGCTAACGGTCACCATTAACGACCAGCGATAACGAATAAACGACAATTACACGTAGAAGCGTTCGAGGAACGCCATCATAATATCTACTGTGCGGCACAGATGGGCAAGATTCTTATCTAGATAAAATTTTCCAACATCCAATTTAAGATAAACAACATTCCATTCTTTATTTCTCCAGAAAACAAATTCAATTTAATTCATAAAATAAAACAATATAATAAAGAATCGAGTAGATACTAATGACTATTTTTGTCTTCCTTTTGGAAAAAGGGAATAATATTTTATGGAAAATTCCATACCTGGATACGAATTTTAATCACTCGAATCACATTCATTAGCTGTGAATTTTAATTGCTCGAAAATTCGCATGCCACGATGAAATTTTTCAGATCTGATGCTCTCACTGCCAAAGAGATATTCCTTTCTTTTACTGAATGAATGGAGGCTTATCTGAATAAAATTGTTTAATGGAATAAACGTCAATAAATCGCTGTAAGGTGTTCTCATTCCTTATCAATTACATTGAGAGACGGGAGATGTGAAAGAGCATAATACCATGATACAAAAATTTCGAATGAATCATTACGTAACGTGCTTGTAGTACGAAATCTTCTTCGGTACAATATCATCTACGCATTAAGGAATCTGTATCTCGTAGATAAGCATAGAAGAAGTTCACTTAGGTGCTTTTGTCTTCTCTTTGCTTCGCTTTTCTTTAAATTTGGCATACACTTATCAAAACATTGTGCTCACGTGGGTGTTTTAACAAATTTTAATTCATTTATTAGTCTATACAATATAAATACGTTATACATAATATGTATGTACATATGTATAATATATTAAACTGGGCTTTAGATAAATTCTCGAACCTCTACTAACTCTCGGAACAAATATTCTGGCAATCTCAAAATACAAGAAGAGGACCTAACATAAAATCAGAATTTTCAACACCTGCAATCTTTACTTGCGTCTCCAAACTTTTTGTATGAAAAACAATTTTCAAAATTCTTTCCAAGGGGCCAAAGGTCATCCACCTTCCCGTTTCTCCTTCAGTTACACTTTTAGCCCCTAACTAGAGACTCCAAAGCGTTTTGTATATCATTACCAGACTGATCAACAGATTTAAAGACTTCTTCTGCGTTTTAAGTATATTTTTTAGTTGGAGTACGCGTAGAGGATTGACGTGTATTTTCTTTTTCAAGGGCTCCGCAAACTCTTGCAATTGGAACCGGTGACCGTGGCACCAGAATCAATAAATTGCACTCCTCCAGCGATCAAAGAGTTCCCGCCCGATGGTCTTACGCGGGAGCAGAGACAGTCGGGTTACATAGTGATACACTTTCTGATAGCAATTTACATGTTCCTGTTGCTGGCCATCGTCTGCGACGACTTCTTCGTGCCCTCCATCAAAAAGATCTGCGACAGTAAGTGGAACGCAACGATCCCTCGAACCTTTAACGACGGGCGTGGCAAATGAGTCACGGTAGACATTTTTGGCCCCCTATTCCCTGCGATAATAGTGGTTTTACATTCTAAAGATTTCTTTGAATTAGTGTTGTTTAAAATGTCCATCTCTGAAGGGTTGACTCCATTAGTTTTATAGAAGGGATAATTTGTGTCTTCCTTTGCTTTGTCTTCTTGGAGATGAAATGATTGCTCTTTTTCTAGAAATCGACTTGACGGAGGATGTTGCAGGAGCGACGATTATGGCAGCAGCCAGTTCTAGCCCAGAATTGTTCATCAACGTCGTGGGAACCTTCGTGACGGAAGGAGATTTGGGCGTAGGCACGATTGTCGGTTCCGCCGTCTTCAACGTCCTAGCAGTGCCTGCCTGTTGCGGTTTATTCGCGAATCAGGTCAGATTAAACACTTACGGAATTTTTTACTCGAATAACAGATGACGAGTGCAGACACTCCAGAGCAATTCGTTCGCGACGTTCATTCCCCAGGCGAAATTTTAATCTAGATAGAAATTTCATCCAACGAATAGAAATATTTCGTTTCTTCGAAAAAGAATGTTTTTAAATTTAATTGTAGACTGAAATATTTATATAAATTTGTCCATTATTCAAATAAATTTTTTCCCTTTCGTAACTCATTCGACTAAGTGTTCGTCAAACTAGTCGTTTATTTTTACGTTATATATTTCAATGGTACAATTTAGACTGTAATTTTAATTGAACAAATAACATACACGAAGATGTCTATCTTTTACTCGTTATTCGAAACGTCTATCCAGATAAGAATTTTTCCCATCGAGTGATACTCTTAGCAAGCCGCAGATTAAGCTCGTCGATGCGTTGTACATTCATGGTACTTTGCAAATAGAATTTTTGAAAACCAATCCCAAGAAGAAGTGAAAGAACGTTCTGTTTTATTCAATCTCGTCTCGCGTCCAGATCTAATCTAATCAGTGTTCCCACGATTTTAGAAATAATTAAACGGTAGCAGGTCAAAATTTTGTTACCGGTGATTTGTTTGCAACGCTCGATTGTGTAATACCGATTATAAATTTTATCGAGCAAACAACGCATCCGAGGATGTTTATCTTTCATTCCAGATTCGAAATTTGTATCGACGATAGATAAGTGTTTCGGACTTTTCTGTTTTTCGATACATAGATACGGCGACAAATATGGGAAAATCAAGGAAGCTCATTAAGGAAATTTATTCGTAGGTATTGAGCCTGGAATGGTGGCCTGTAACTCGAGACACCGCCGCGTATACGATTACGGTTGGCTTATTAATTTTCTCGCTGCGAAACGGTCGAGTCGAGTGGTACGAGGCACTGATTCTCGTCCTTTTCTATCTCCTCTACATCTTCAGTACGTATTTGGT